CCCTTGAAGGTTCGAGTTATCGGGAGTCGACTGTATAACAAAACAAAATAAAATAATGATAATCAAATAACATAAGTTCAGTAGAGTGAATAAAATCACAGCAGCTAAAAGACAATAAAAAAAACCTACCCGTTTCACAGTCACTTCCCGTATATCCTGTTGGACATTTGCATGAGTAATTATGGAGACCATCCACACAGGACGCACCGTTCTGGCATGTGTGGTTAATGCAGTAGTCAATGTCTGTAAAATAATAATAAAAAGGTTGCAATATGTAAAATCGAGTAGAACTCAAAGGCCGACACACAATATGAAACTAGAAAAACAACAACAACAACAACAACAACACCGGAGCAACAATTTACCTGTTTCACAGTGATCCCCGGTATATCCTCCTGGGCAGTTACAAGAATAACTGTTGACACCATCTTCACACGATCCATTGTTACTGCATGTGTGATTTACACAGTCGTCATTGTCCGTAAAAGAATTGGCGAGCCATAAGGATGATATAAGTAGTTATAATGCTACACATTTATGAGGCATTGTAATCATCTGAATAGCAGGTTGGATGCTGCTTTTCGGTTCAACTTCTGTAGATGTCTTACCTGTACTTACTCTGTCACCAGTAGGCAACAGTTAACCAAAGACTATGTCGTATATCGTCATAGTCTCTATTAGTTATTAAATACCATCTTTACTATCCCTCCTTTTTAAGTTCTCCGAAAAGACCGACCTCTTTTGCTTCGCAACGTGATCGTCAACGACAGCCTTTTCTCGCGGGTAGCCTTGGCTACGAGAAATTATTTTTACGAATTTCCGAGATTGTTGTCCATATGTTTTTTGAGTTCTATGCATGCACCTGTTTCGCAGTGATTTCCAGTAAATCCCAGTGGGCAGTTACAAGAGTAAGTGTTGATACCATCTTCGCACGTTCCACCATTACTGTATGTGTTATTAATACAGTAATCGACGTCTGCAAACGAAATAAAAGAGATTAAAAGATCATATAAGTCCAATAACTTTATTGTAATTAATCAATAATTTATTAATCCGGTGGATATCATTCTGACGGCGCGAACAACGTGCATGCTACCTGTTTCACAGTGATCTC